TTCCAGTTGACTCTTAATATAACAGGGAAGACTTAGGAGCCTAATTAAACCACAAATTTGCTCAAATTACTTTAGCTGCAGAGTGCTAGGAAACAAAAGCAGCAAACAGACCTGTTCTGTGAGCAGCAGTCAGGCATTTGATGGTTGTTTTTTTCCGGTAGAGGTTTTGAGCAGCACAGAAGTAAAGAAGCCGAGAAGCAAAGCCATCATCTGCAAACGGTGGCTGCAGCCACAAATCACAGGGCAGCCCTTATTCCTGCATAGTGTAGAAAGCATCGTTCATCGCACATTATTTTATTAATGTCCAAACACAGAGAAAGCAATCATCATCACTAGCATCATTTTGAATATCAAGGGTAGCACGACATTTTTATCAATGTAATTGGACATTAGCGCACATAGATTATAGAGTTAATCTTTAAGGATAATTTACACAATGAGCGAGAATAATAGTTCTTTTATACTGCCTACTTTTCCTCTTACACTTTGTTCTCTTGAATAATGTCATACATATTTAATGCAAAAGTTTAATTTTTAAGCTAAGTAAATCCACATGTTAATTATCCATTTTGATTTTAGTAAAAATTGAGTTTAGAATACTGATGATAATGCATGTAAGGAAAGAAACAAATGAGTTTTTATCACAGACTAGTCAATTCAAACAATTGCTTTCTTAAAACAGGATTAAGAAACAAAATAAAACAAAACAAAAAAACAACAGGATTCACAGGAAATTCCTCTTAAAGGCAAACCTCATTAAAGGCGTATTTCTTCATTAGATGGAATCTGTTTTAAAGCTACAAGTGGCTGTTCATCCATTTATCTTAGTTTCTAGGTGTAAGATACAAGCTGCAACGCTTGTATTTTCCCCCCTCAGCTAACCTGGCAAATTAAAATAAGAAATATTGTAAGTTTTATTACTTCTTATCTGTTATTTTAAAAATCTGTGTTTCAGACTCTTGGTTCAGAGTACAAACTTTACAGATATGATAAATGAATATGCGAAGCAACTTTAGCTTTCTGGGGTAACTTGTCCTAAAAGTAAAAACAAAAAATTAAGAGACAGGAATGTATAACCAAAGAAGAGCAGAGCATTAAAGCAACCATCTGGTGAGTTCAGACCAAATACAAAGTCTCTCGTATTTGCCTAAACCATGTAATTGTCTGTATCACCCCTCTGCTTTATTTTGCCTATGGAAATCTGACCTAAACTAAACAACTATTCTATACCATTAAGTTGTCCAGGAAGATGAAAGTTTAAATGTATGTCAGACAAGCTGCAGCATCTGGTACAATTCAGTAATGGTGGTCTCCTCCGGAGAGCTTCAGGGTTGGAACAACTTGAGGACTGAGGAGGTTTGGTTGATCTATGGGAAGAAAATAACGTTCTCCTAGTCAGACATACTCCCTGTTCACACGTACTCATACTTGCCAGACGTCTCCCCGTGTATGAAATATAGGAAATAAGACCCCTCTATGAAACATCTCACTATATCTCTAATTCCACTTTGTTGCAGCCAAATAATATACCTTGGGTACAAAGTGATCAGCACTGTTAATCCTTCACTGTAATTGCTTAAAAATTATTGTCGCACTTTTTTTTTTAAACACATTGATTAGTCTTACGTTCACCCCTCCGCAGAGTAGAGAATAATGTCTTATAAAGTATTGTTTAAAGTGACACATAAAATTTAATTAGTTTAGATGCTCTCATATAGTTTGTTGACATGAGAACTAACTTAGTTCTCCTTTTTAAATGGGCAAATGAGCTTAGACACATGAGATCTTTTAAAAGAAGGTTAGAAGTGATCATGGGGACATTTATGTGTATCAATAAATCCCTTTTAAACTGTACTAAAAACCGCATTGTGCCAAATTTACCCATCTTTCAGAAGAGAAGAGAATCAAGTTTAAATGTGATGTTTTTTATCAATAGACTGGAAAAAAACTTGCAACAAATACGACAAAGTTTTAATCTCTTTATTATGTAAACAAGTCATACATAATAAGAAAAAAACAGAATCCAATAGATAAGGCAAAGGACATAAAAATACTTTATAGAAAGATAAAATATAGTCAGTAAATATATATATATGTCTTATCTCACTAGTAAACAAAAATGAAAATCAAAAGAACGGTGGAATATCATTTCACCCATCTTATCAATGATTTTTTTAAAATAAGGAATCCAATGCTGGCAGTCAGTGCGGTGACAGGGTAAACTGATATATTTTTAAAAAATAATTTATCGAATATTTATACCTTTTAACCCAACAATTCCAGTCTTTGGTTTCCACCTCAAGGGAATAATTTAACATTAAAAAAAAGAAAAGCTGTAGGTACAAGATATTCATGACAGCATTATCTGTAATACTAAAAGAACTTGTAAACAACCTAAATACCCCAAAGCAGAGGGATAATTAAGTAATTAACATACATTAGCTGTGTGGGATATTATGCTGCATTTTAAATAGTGTTTGTGCTGATCCATAATAATATGGGGAAATGTAATCATGTCATGCTAAGTGAAAAGAATAGGATGCAAAATTACATGCATTGTGAGCCCATTGCTCTATGTAAATCTCTATGTGCATATGGAAAAAAAGGACATAAGAATATTTAAATCTCTTCACTATTTTCCCAATTTTATTTAATATGCATTTTAATGTTCTCAATATATTTTAAAATGTCATGTTATTACTCAAAGCAGTTTCAAATGCATTCCTTATTTGTTTTTACATTTCTTTCTAAAGCAAAACCTTGCACTTAGAAAGACATAAAATATCATAGCGCCTATCATAAAAACCCCAAATGAAAGTATTCATTAACATTTTGGTTTTTAGTGTAGCAAATCTCATACATAGGTGACTAGGTTGCTGAAACATAAATGTAGCAGCCCCAGTCAGGGCTCTTTCAGCACCCACGCTTGTTCTGCCTCCAGCCCCTTTTCAGAAACCAACGCTGCTCCTAGTACCTGCGAATATACTGCACTTATAAACTAGTGGCAGCAAAGGGAACGCTAATGATTGTTTCTCCCAATTTGGGAACAACCAAAACCAATTTCCTTTCTCCCCAAATCAGAGTATCAAAAGGAGCCATTTATTCAAATATGTTTGCTCTGTTTCTAACAGCAAATTCTTAAGAGGGTAGAGATGGGGCTTATTTTTATAATGTTCACATTGTCTAGTTTGTTAGATTTTATAAATAACACCCTTTGCAGTGTTTACCCTAGGGCAGGGGGAAGTGACATCCTATTCTTTTAGAGAGAAATACCATATGTCCTCCCCACCCCCATCCCACTGCAAATGTGGTTACTCCTCGGACACTTCAATATAATCTCGACCCATCTTCACTCTTAAGAATCTGAAATCCTAGTCAAAGACAAACTAGGAGACGAAGGGGAAGAGGGAGAGGAGGAGGGGGAAGAGGAGGAAGGGAGTGAGGGAGAGGGGCGGGAGAGAGAGAGAGAGAGAGAAAGAGAGAGAGAAAGAAATACTTCAGGAGGTTGTAGTTCTTACTTTTGTGATGTCAACTTGTAGAATGAAATGCAGCAAAAAAAAAAAAAGTCTTTTCTTGACGCGAAGGATGTGAAATATATTCTAGGATATGTATTTGGTATGGTCCTTTGTTCTAGGTAAGAGCGTTTCTATTTCTAAAGCTTTTCGGTCTCGCTCAAGGAAAAGGAAACAATATTTTGAGATTCTTTCAAAGGCACCTTTCAAAGCATCTCCCAGAGGAAAATATCAGGACAGCTCAACACTGGTGTATTTCAGTAAGAATCGAGTCCCATTTTTTTCAACATGGCTGTATACTTTGCAGGCCCTCAAGTTTGTGCTTTCAAAGTCATCATTAACTAAATAAGCCAGAAACACCATCTTTAGCGAACCTGTGCTTCGTGGGCTAGAAACGCGCTCAGATGAAAGACTATGTTCATTTTGAAGGCATCGCTGTTATTTGTGTTCCTTACAGTCGCGGGCTTTTGTCAGGGACGGAGCGGGCTCGGGGGCGCCTCCAGCGCGGTGGGCAGCAGGTCCGAGGACCCCGGTCGTTAACACGTTTTCAAGGGGGTGCCGACACTTTCTCTCAAGAAGCTCTGCGGGAGGGAGTGGACCAGACGGTGACAAGAATAGAGAATTTATGTGAGCGACAGGGAGAAAGAGAGCGCTTAACTCGGTCCCCGGGTCACCGTGGTTCTGGGATTTGCATGAGTTTATCACCACCATTAACGGCTCCTTGCGGAGGGTTGTTTACCGCCTTGAGCGCGCAACAAGACACTAAAGCCCACTCCGGGACCCCGGCCACGCCCCCTGCCTCCAAACTAGTGAATTCGGGGCCGCCTTCCTGTTGGGCCCGCCCATCTGCTCCTATCCCAACCAATCAGAGCCTTGCCACAGTTTCACCTGGCTCCGGCTTCCCAAACAAACAAACCGTCCCGCGACAGCCGCGCAGCCGGCGCCTGTTGCCGCTCCTCCCCCTCCCGCCACCTCTCTCCCCCTCCAGCAAATCGGGCCCCTCCTGTGGCATCCCCGCCTGTCCCCAATGCTGGCTGCTCTCTCCTCCGCCCCCCTCCCGGGCTTCTCCAGCCCCCTCATGGCCTCTTGAACTCCTGGTTAGGATCGGCGTGGCCCGAGAACCCCGCCTTCTCCCGTAGGTCCTCGCGTGGCCCATAAGCCTGGAGAGTCACCTAGAGGGGGTCTCGGCCGAGCTGGAGGCGGCCCCGCCCTCCGAGCCCGCCGCCCCCTCCCTCGCACACCTCTACTGGTGGCCTCTTGCGCCCCTCCACTGCGCGGGTAGCAGGAGCCGCAGCGGGCGCCGCGTGAGGCGACGGTCACGTGTTGTTTTGCCCGCTGCCGCGCTCTCAGAGTGGAGTGGGCGGGGGCGCTGGCCGAGGACGGAGGGGGCTGGAGCGGGCGGACGGAGGTAGACGGCCTCTTCCCCCAGCCCTCCCTTCCCCGAGTCCCCCCTCCCTTCCGCTCACCTTAAAACCATCGTGCATCACCATGGCGAGTTGCTTCTTAGCAAGCGACCAAGCGACAAGGAGGCTGAGAGCTACAGCAGCGGCAGCAGCGGCGGCAGCGGCAGCTCTAGCAGCGGTGGCGACCACCCCGCTTCTTTCTTCGGGAACCCCGACCGCACTCATTGGGACCAGGTCGTCTTGTCCGGGAGCCATGTGGCTCTCCACGGCCACTGGCTCCCGGTCAGATTCCGAGTCCGAAGAGGAGGACCTCCCCGTCGGGGACGAAGTCTGCAAACGCGGCTACCTGCGGAAGCAGAAGCATGGGCACAGGCGCTACTTCGTGGTCAAACTCGAGACCGCTGACGCCCCAGCTCGGCTGGAATACTACGAAAATGCCAGGAAGTTCCGGCACAGTGTCCGCGCCGCGGCGGCTGCAGCAGCGGC